GAAATTTATAATTCTTTGTTCATATTAAGTATCAGTATGTTAATGTCTGTTAGGACTATTGTCCATTATTGTTAAAAATAATTTATTGGTGTTCTAATTTGTGGTATTTCTGTTGGTTTCACAATTAGCAAAGCCAATACAAAATAAAAGATCAGAAATCGCTTTCTTTATTACTTTAGCCATTTAATGCTTTTTACTTTCACGCTAAATAATCAGATGAAAACTTTAACTCAATTACAGGTAAGTATAATCATTTCAATTTAGATAAATAAAATTTATACTCTATGTTTTGGTCAGACAAAAATAATAAATTATACAATAAACAACCTGTATCATACGATACTTTCACCTTGTAAAGAATAGTGTGGTATATTATTTTAAAGATTTTATTGAGTTAAGAAATTTACTTTTTCTTAGTTTGCAGCAATTAAAGAATTCCTCCCTTGTTGCATATAAGAATTTATTATGTTAGAGAAACTGCAAATCAAAAAATGAACTTCCTTTATTTGCAAATGAGTAACTGCCCATTTGCAAAAGCTAAAAAAAAGTATTCTGAGGATTTAAAAGACTATGTAATAAGGATGATCACATAAATGGCGGGCAAAGGAGGAAATCTGAGCTTCTGTTTTATGCATTGGTCCTAAAACATTCTTTGTTTCTCTAGGAGAAATGTTATATACCAGTAGACTGTATCATGAACTAGTCCTCTTTAATTTTTTTAAAAAAATCTTACCACAGTGTGTACTATCCCTGCAATATTTATATTTGAAACTTTTAAATTTCCAAATAATGCTTTAAGAGCAGTATTGTATTCATGGATAGCAGGTGGCTTGGACCCATGCAGTATTTTAGCATTGTGGCTTAAATTTCAATTTTCGCAAACTGCTTTCATGTAGTGAAAACAATTGTACATGTTAATTCTCATAGAACTCTAGGAAAGCAAAATTTGTAAACCCAGAAATGTGTCTCTCTGGCATGAGAATTATTTTATTTTTAAGAAACGAAAGGTCAAAGGTTCTTCTTCCCCTAGTCAAAGAACTATCATCCCAGATAACCATTTGATCAAAGCCCAGCAAATGCTTGTTTACTAAACAGTAACTCTTCATCTCCCTGTAAACTACCTTAGTTCCCTTTGGAGTCCCAAACCCTTACTTCCTTAGTCCAGAATGACATATATACTCATTTTGTCTTACTGTATTTGGAATTTTCAGGTATATGTGATTTTCCTATTAAAACTTGGTTTTCTCCTGTTAATCTGCCTTATGTCATTTTAATTATTCAACCAGTTAAAGAACTAAGAGGGGAAGTGCGGGACTTTGCCCTCCCTCACAGAACTCCTGTCAGTATTCACTATATGCAGTCTTTGTAAAATGGGTATTAGTATTTTATTATTTGGCATGCATTCATATAAGCCTAACATGCCAAAATAGTTTATATAGTTCTGTTTTTTGAAATCAAGATTTGAAATATTTTGATTTTCTAATAATTACGTGTAAGTGAGCATATTATCTAATTTATTAACATTTAATTTATCCTCAATTCTTAAGAAAATTAAGGAAATCCAAGTATGTGTCATTTAATTTTACTGAACCACAAAAAATGTAGGAGAGATAGGAATTAACAATCTTTATTTGGCACTATCTCTTTTTTTTAAATAAAATTTTTAATTTAGTTTCAAGCATACAGTATATTGTTTAGACATCTATATCGTTTATAAAACAATCCCCTCAGTTGCTCCCTCCTTCCCCTGGCCCTCCACTTAGCCATCACATTAATACTAACTGCATTCCCTGTGCGATGCTCCCCATCCTTGTGCCCAACTACTAATTTGTACTTATTTAATCCTTCACCCCATTCTCCCAGCCCCCCAAACCCCTCCCCTCTGTCACCAAATTGTCCCTATATTTGTGGGTCTGTTTTTGATTAGTTCGTCCTTTTTGTTCCTTAGATTCCACATATAAGTGAAATCATATGGTATTTATCTTTCTGTCTGACTTATTTCACTCAGCATAATAACTTTCTATTTTGCACTATCTCTTGATCTCAACCATTTTGCTATCGAGATTTTTCACATTTTCAAAGTAATACCTATTTGAATGCTATTTATCCTTTTTTTGGATAAAAAATAAGAGAGAAGGCTTCCCAATTTGATTCACAAAATATAAAAACTCTACTATAAACTTGATACACAGCAAAATAATGTATAAACAAAGTGATTTATAAACTTATATTCAGAAGCTATTTAACTAATCTATTAAAAGGAACAACACTTGAAAAACAATGGAGGGATGGAGAGAGGAAGAGAGAGAGAAGGAGAGAGAGAGAGAGAAGGAGAGAGACGGAGAGATAAATATTGAGATAAATATAGTCCAAATGTAAGCCTGAATCAGCTCCAAATTACCACATGAACAGTAATAGAAAGATGATGTAGATCCAAAGAAGTGACTGCCAGGGAACTGGGATGCCCTGTCGGGAGAGCAGGTGATATGAGCTGTCTGCTCCACTGTGAGCAGCGTACACCCTCAGAGGAGGCTGCAGTGAAGAGCTGGTCAGCAGGTCATGTTCCATGGAAGGAGGACATTCTGGGGAAATCTTGAGGGGAGGGAGCTATGATGATGGAAAAAACTGGAGCTGGACAAAAATACCAGCTTCTGGGCAGTTAGCTCTCAGTGGGATCCTGGGAAAATGAAACCCAAGGACAATCCCCAAATTTTGATTCATTGTCATATTTACCTTCCCCTTCAATAGGCCTATTGTCAGTACTGTGGCTAAGGTGCCTTTTTATTGCCTGAGAACCATTTTAGAATAGTGAGGACAGAAAAGAATTAAGGGACTGCTTCCGGTTTGGGAGAAGTGCAACAATGTGGCCTCTAGACAATTTCAGACCAGAGGCCTAGTCCCAGTTCTGCTACTAACCAGTCTTGTGATCTTGAGCAAATTGCAGGTTCTTCGTCTTCTAAGTGAGTTTGGTAAGCCCTATCTTATAGGACTGTTGAAATGTATGTACTATATATAAACCACATGGCAAAATGACTAGCAAATATTGCTGAATAGTTGAAGAATGGCAGTTAATATTATTATTTTGATCCCAGATGATACCACCCACCTCTCTTGGAATTTTTTTTTTTTTTAAATCTAGGAGATGTCAGAGAATATGCCGTATTCTCAAAGAACACTCAATCAACCAAAACTTCTCCCTCACTAGCAAAACTAAGTAAAATTTCCCCATTAGAACACTTATCATTTGAGGTGTGGTGTTGCCTTCCCCAGCTGGATGCAACTCAAGCTCCCAGAATTGGTGTCAAGGTACAAGTCTTTCCATCCCTCCCAGTTACCCTTCCCTCCAAACCACCTCTACTTATATTCATTATACCCTCACAAAAGTTAGCCCTCTCTTAAGAGTTTGCCAAATTACACTCAAGATAACCTAATTTAAATTCCATTTTAATGAAGTAGGGTCTGGCTCTTCCAAACTGGGGCAAAAAGTGTTAGCACAGTGGCTTCTTGGCATCTCACCTCTAGGGAATATCACCCTTATTTCTCAGAAACTTCCTGGAGATGATGCACAAAGAACACCTAGTTTGCATACTGTGTTCATCTGCACCTTCCTTTCCTGCCCCAAGCAGAGATTTTTTTCTGGTTTACCCATAGTCCCAAAGTAACTCATAGCAGCAGTTTTCCATTATAGACTCAGCGTTTCTATCATATGTTAAAATTCTAACCCCCAGTGTGATCTTATTTAGAGACGGGGTCTTTGAAAGGTAATTAGGTTTTCTTTTTTCTCTTTTAAATTTTATTTTTATTCATTCATTCATTCATTCATTCATTCATTTATTATTTCTATGATGACATTGGTTAATGAAATCCAGTAAGTTTCAGCCGTACACTTTAACAGTAAGGCATATATATGTTTACACTGTGTTCACCTCCCATAGTTAGATTTCTTTCTGTCACCACGTATTTGATCCTCTTTACCCTGTCTACCTCTCCCCTCCTCCCTCCTCCCTCCCCTCTGATAACCACTAGTCTATTGTCTCTGTTTGTCTCTTATGAGTCTTTGTTCGTTTGTCCTGTTCATTTGTTGCTTTTAGGTTTATTAGGTTTAGATGAGGTCATGAGGATGGGGTGGCCATGATGCAGTTAGTGTTCTTATAATAAGGACAAGAGAGACAAGAACTCTCTCTCTGTCATGTGAGGACAGAGGGAGAAGGTGGTCGTCTGTAAGCCAGGAAGAGAGCTCTCACCAGGAACCGAATCTGCTGACTTTTAATTGTTAAAATGTCTAAGCCACCCAGTCTGTGGTATTTTGTTTAGCAGCCCAAACAGACTAACACACACTATTGTCTCTCAGCTATGCAGCATATCAGCGGAGGGCCTCACCATTTCCACAACCAGCCTACCATATAGCGTAAATGAAAATTACATCCCCATGAGGACTTAAAGATTCCTCAAGTCCCAAACTGCTTGCACAGGAAATTTCCACTTAACTGCTCCCATAAAGAACACTCTCTTCCTTACTCATTCTTTTAATTTTACCTATAGGTCATAATGAGTATTTTGACATCTTGCTCACATGGGTGCAACTCATAGGCTCTAAAATCATATGAGTAGAGGCTGAATTTTCTTTAGCATCCCCACCTAACACTGAGTCTTCCAAAGAGCACATACTCAATGTGTGGTGGATAAAAAGAGCCAGCAAACACAAAGTCTAATTTATTAAGATTTTAATGTCTCATGTTTCTTAATAAGCTAAGAACATCAGAGAATATAACTCAATTAATTTTGCAAAACTGAAGACTAAAAGGGACAAGGAAAACTAATACTGATCTTTTTTTTTTTTTTCTATTCTCTCAACTATTTTACTATGGGATTCTTTTACATTTCCAAGACTATAATTCCCATTATGATGTTATATATTCTTGTCTAGAGGACGAGAAGCCTCAAACTTCTCTAGGAATGGAAAGACATCGTTGGTCATGGCCCTGGAAGGTGCACCGACTTCAGCAGTAGTTGCAGCCCTTGCTGCATCCAATGGTCCGTGTTCTCTCTTGTTCATCTTGCAAAGCCTCTTTGTAACAGTATGGGAAAGCAGTGGGGACGGTATCGTTGATCTTCGCCAAAAACTGCAGGACTTTCATCTTGCTGGTTTCAAGATGTGCTTTCGGACCCCAGAGGAACTCGTAGCGTGGAGGATCACTGCCGGTCACCTGGCGGTACTCCAGGTACTTTAGCCTCACTAAATCTTTGGTGATGAGCTTCTTGGGCTCCCCATAGATGAAGTGCTTCCTTCCAGCATATACTCGCATCAGACCCAGGAGTCGCCAGATCTCTTCCTCAGTGGCATGGTTGCCTTTAATGAAGATCATGCCCAGGATATTCATCAGGAGACCGGTCTTGGGTAAGCCTCTGCCAGGACGCACCCTCCCATTGTTGGGGAGTTTCAGCTTGCTGATAAGGTCATATAACTGTCTAGTTGAGTCGACTTCCCTCACCTCTAACGCAAAGACGGCCTCAATGTGCTCAGAGGCCTTCCTGAGGATCTCAGGAAATCGGTCTTGGTAATATGTGCCGACAATCCTCAGCATGTCTTCCTTCAGAGTGCGTTGTTTCATTTTATACTTGTACAGAAGGAATCGCTCCAAAAACATGACAATTTTGGCTAAATTATCTATGTCTGAGCTCTCAGTGGAAAGCAGGGCCTCAGAGGCTTCTGCCGTATCCTCATCTTGGCTGTTGGAAGCTTCGTCAGATCCAGGGCAAGAAATGACTGCAGTAGTGGTGACTGGTGTGCTTTGAGGCCCCTGGGAAGTGCTGCATAAGTCAGCAGCAGGCTGACTCTGGGTATTACCTTCACACTGAGGCGAGGAGGAGGAAGTGGACTCCTCCTCAGCTACTGCAGTGGCCTTAGCACCTTCACCCTGAGTCTCACCTCGGGCCCGGCAGCGTTTCTCGTAGGCCTGATGCTTACTCTTGTGACTCCGAGGCATGATGACACTATGGTCAGGAACAGCAGGCAGGAGTATGGATAGAAGGTCAGGAGACGTGGATACCTGGAGAAAGGAGAATGAGATGGTGTGAGCACCTTTAGCAGGGAGGTTCCATCTCGGCTCTACCCAAGGCCGTCTCCGCAGGGTCTGAGGGCAGTGCTCCAGGAACCCTCAGGGCTCCTGTTCTCATCAGCCCCGAGAGCCCTGTGGAGGAAGTAAGAGGGAACCTTAGGCTGCAGCCTGTCAACCATGCCTGGGGTGTACTGGGTGGTAGC